GCAGTTTAGCAAAAGAAACAACAGCGCTAATTAGATCTCGACGGCAATACTCGAGTTGGGCGCAATTGTGGGTGGGTTTGAGCCTGTTATGCAATTTATACCATCACGTCATAATGCGGTCTTCGCTTGCCAGACAATGTCAATTTGCAGCGCGCGTCTGACAGGATTTGGCGATTTAATCAATGCGACATTCGCCCGTGAAACTTTAAAGACACGCGCGAAGAATTCTGCTGTTCGTCGGTAATTTTGCTGTCTGAATCTGCAATCGAATTCAAATAAATTACACTTCAATTTAAGACGACGCGCCTCGCATATCTCATCAGAGATCCCCTCTCAGCCTACCGACAGGGGAGGCTTTTCCCGCCCTTGAATGGGGGGGTGGAAAACTCAATGGCGTGCATGCAGATTCCTAGGCAATTTTCCAATTCATTGACGAATTGACAATCCGTGATGTATAAACTGAAATTGCTCCGCAAAGTCGATGATGAATCCCATTAATATTCCTCAACATTCGAAAAGTGCACTAAATCATCTCGCGGCTGGCCTTTGGGGTGGGTTTTTTTCGCCCAACACTGCTGCACAGAAGAGCCGCTGTTCGATCCATTTTCTGCCGTCGACATGAATATGAAAATGCTGGCAAAGTCTCATCGACAGACGTGGAATGTGGAGTGTGAAGATAGCGCTCTTTTGGGCGGTGGAAATTCAGGAAAAATATTCGGCAATCGTTCATTGATGATAGTCAAGAAGGAAACCTTCAGACACACACTGCCAGAACAGTATAAGAAATGCGGATATTTCGACTCTACCGAATCGAAAACGAGAGATTAATTCGTGAAAGTTGAAATTTCTGAATGTGAAGAAATTGCAAACATTTCACAGAGATAAAGCAACATTTTATAATCACATTCTTCCCTTTTTTGATATTATTAAGTAATCAATTATAGAGAAAAGAACATTCCAGATTGATCTGCAGTAATTCTATAAGCTTCCCAAGATGATAAGACGACTTAAGGTGAGTAAAAATTCAATCCTGGATTTATTGAAATGCACCCCAAAATGTCTAGATTCATAATATTCGAATTCTCACCCTCATTTTCCTCAAATACACTCAATATATTGTGAAGACAAGGGTGGCAAATATGATGTGCGGATCTTCAAAGCGACCTAATTGGGCGTTGTTTGCCTCAAAAGTCCCTCTTTCACCACCGCAATCGCGAGAGTGCGTAGTGAAATTCGTGTGCGATGCGAACGTAGTGGAAATGAACTCCTTTAGTGTAATTAATTTTGCATATAGACGGCGGTATTTGTGTACAAAGCCATAAACATGTATTCGATTGTGCCCGATAGAAGTTGGGACGGGGGTGAAAGTGTTGTGGAAGTTCATCAAGCGGATGCTTTGAATGTTTTGCGGTGTACGCAGCGAGTCACTCACACCCTTTGTGTCCCGTGGCGCTGCTCAATCATACAGAAACGCGCCATCGCGCGAGGGTGGTTCTGGCACGCACGCGGAGAGCAGCGAACGTGATTTGTATAAATAGCGATTGAATTCCGCCAGAGAGCACTGAAAATTGCCACCTTGTGCAGATCGCAAGTGGCCTTATAAATTGAGATACAAATTGCTTCTTTAATTGACTCTCCAGCAACCCCAATTGCGGGATTGGATGGACAGCGAGTGTGTATGTCTTGTCTGTCGTCAATCCACCGATGAACACTGTCTGCTTGCTTCGTAATGCCATCAAGCATGAGGTGCCACAAGGGAGAGATATTGTGGTCGTAAGTGATGTACGAATTATCTGGAACTCATCTGTGTCTTTAAAGTTTCTTTTAGGCCTTTCAACTGTGAAGAATTCTTTAATTTTCTGCAGTCAAATAATACAGAAAAACCTGATTTTCTCATAAATTTCACGACGTCACGTGTCTTGCTTAAGACCCAGCTTCGATTTTAATCTCTCTTTCTCTTGTTGTACACAAAGGGGAAATAATATGCTTTGAATCTGTGCACATTCTGACACTTCTTAGGCCTTTATGCAGAATCTTCTGAACATTTCAAGATGTTTAAGATCTTCAAATGCTTAGATTATGGATTATATGAATTGATCTTAATGTTTCACGATTTGTTCATAAACAATTTTTGTCTTGATTTCCTAGTTTTATCTTTGGAAGATGCTCAGAAAAATTCACATCAAATTGTGAGGTTATGAAATCGGTTTTAGAAATACTTCAATCCTAGAAATAAGTAAATATGGCGAATATCACAATGTTCCTACTGAATAATAAGGTTGAATTCATCACTTTAGAGTAAAAAACCGCCGAAGAAAACTAAGCAAAGAGACACTTTCTTAGATATTTTTGAGGTTATAGTTGACTTTTAGGTTGTTTCTTTATTTATCCGGAGTTTTCTACCGAGGAAAGAGTAAAATTACCAGCTGAAATACAAATTTGATGATAGAATCTGTCTTAAATCAATCACATAACCTAGAAAAAGCAATGAAATAATTTAGGAAATGCCTCAGTTTGTTGCCACAGAAGCTTTCCATTGAAAAGCTGTACAGTATTTCGGAGAATTGTCTCCCCTTGGAGAGCCATCAGGGCGATATGATGAGCGCGAGGGCAGTAAATTTAATGGGGCACAGCAATAAAGATTTGCTCTTGATTGACAAATAGCGAAATGCCTTCGAATGATGCGCATCAGTGGCATAAATCTCGATGGCTTTGCTTCTGCTGAACAAGCGCTCGTCTTAACGCATGAAACCCAATGAAATCTTGAATAAATATGCAGAATTGCGACTGTCCTTTCGCCCAGGCAATTCCGACCGATACATCAATTCCAATTTGAAGCGCTGTGCCAAAATAGTCGCTTGAGCAGCGCCGGGACAGGCCATTTTCGGCTACGCTACCTTTCACGGGCAATTCATTCCTTCGCAAACGATATAGGAAAGTGCGGGGAAGAAAAGCATCAGTGAAATGCTTGGGAAATATCCCTGAAAATTGAAATGAGGGGTGGAATGAGGAATTGAGAGGAGCATGGAAAAAAAAGCCATAAAGTCAAATCACAATGCCATACTATCTCCGCATCTTTTGCGAGGGAAGCAATCCTTATAATTCTGCACCAGCAATCCGACAAGGCAAAGGGAAAGAAAGGAAGAAAAAAAAAACACGAGAGAGCCATAATAGCTTCCACAATCAATACGATTTCCCCATCACCATCTTGTCCGCCACTGTTTCAACTCACGCCACCTTCGGCATCTCCGGATGCCGTCTTCGGCAATGTAAATATTTACAATCCCCTAGTTTTTCCGGCGAACTTTCTGTTTTTATTGGGCATTATCGTTTGAGAGGTTTCTGAGCTTTATACGCGCGCCACGAGATAGAGTGGGCGATAAGGACTACCCATTTATATGGAATATTTCTCCAACAATTTGATATATCAAATACACATCCCAGGAATTTCCATGCCCTTTCCGCACACACACACACACACACACACATACACACTGTCGAGCCTTTCCAAGGGGTGAGTCAGAAGGCGACTTTTGAAGAAACTTCATGTTCTCTAATCAAATAATCAATTATTTGAGTCAAATAATTAAAAAAAATTATTATTTTCCCGAGTGAAATTGAAAAATAATCAAATTCTGAAAGAAATAATAAAAAAAAAAGATTATTTTCTCAACTAAAATGGAAAAAAAAATCAAATATTAAAAAAAAAATAATTTAAAAAATTATTATTTTCCCCAGAAAAAATACAAAATAATCAAATTCTGAATTTAAAAAAATCAAAAAATGATTATTTTCTGAAGTAGAATTACAAGAAAATCTAAATAATCAAATTCTGAATTGAATAATTAAAAAAAAAGATTATTTCCCATGTAAAATTATTAAAAAAAATAATATAATACAATTCTGAATTAAATAATAAAAAAAATATTTTTTCAACCAATGAATCAGAATATTCTGAATATTCACAATTATTGAATTATATTTAAATTTTGATTAAATATTCAGAAAAATTAAAAAAAATAACCACAGAATTTTGTATGAAATAATCAGAATAATCACAAAGTTGGGTCTCAACTTGCGAGTGATTGTCCCCTTGAGCCTTGGCTGAGCCTTTCCGGGAAAAAACATGTCATGCTGTAAAATTTTATTTCAATTCTCCACCCCAAAAAGCACCAAGACGACAAACAATAATAGCAAATTTTCCACCAAATCTCCCCTTTGTCTCTCCAGACACACCAAAATTCGCACATCCAGACTTTAATTGGAGGTTTCAACACGAGTAAAAAATTTACACAAACTATGCGTGATTTTCTCATTAGTTAGCAGCACGCGGTGTCACTTGAAACACCCAAGAAAGCTTGACGAGTGAGGAAAAAATGTTAAAAAACATTCTCATTTCGACATTCAATGTCAATGCAAAACATGCCACTCAATATTTGAGCTCGATGACGAACACTTTCGGTTGTAATCTCTTATTTTATACGTTGCAGAGGCGGTGAAAACAGGTATGTTAAGTATGTAGTAAACTGGGATGTTATGTAACGTCATTTGAAGGCCCGTTTTTCGGGCAAATTTAGTAAATTTGAAGTGTTTTGAGCAGTTTTTGCTTGAAAATCAAGAAGAAATCATCGGTTTTACTCAAACTTGTTGTGGAAAAACCCTGTTTTTCAGGCAGATAGAAAAGAAATATCGCTTTGGCATGTGTAGGGGAAATGTAGCCCAAAGTGTGATACATATTTAAGAAAAAAAATTTTAATATAAAAGTTTTTTCGTTTCGGAGATATTTAGTAAAATGTTGTCAAAAAAACCGGTGAATTTTTTACCGAGTGGTACACAAAAGACCCTTTTTGACCAACAAGGAGTGGTTAAAAATCTCTATAATGTTTTACAAAGTTGTAGATAATTTCAATATCTTTCATTTGAGCCCAATTTGGTGGAAATCCATGGAAAATTGGACAAGATATGAGGCCATATGAGCTGTAAATAAATAAACACCAGTATTTTCTATACAACAAACCTTCTTTCTTACTTCATTTCACTTTTAATTCCATGTATAAACTCACACTGACATAAGAAAATTTATGACTCATTGAAACCCATTAAGAAGTATTTCAAGTCAAGTATTTGAATTACTCGAGTAGGAAATTTGTGTGCCTTCTCATTAGCGTGCGCGGATTGAGCCGCGATTCACTTGGTCTTCTTCAGCTGTCCAACAAACTCAGTTCTGGGCTGAATGCGCGCCAATTGCTTGTGCTGCTCGATGATGTGCTCAAACCAGCTGCACTCCTTGAAGTCGTACTCGAACTCCTTCAGCGTCTGCACGAATTCGGGCTGAAGCTGCGCCAGCACGCCGTGATCGAGCGTTGGGAAGATGTGGTGAAGAATGTGCTGGCCGAAGAATGTCAGCGTGAAGAAGTGTGACTTGTTGATGTCATTCCTGTCCATTGCCGTGTCCATCTGGTAGATTCCCCAGTCACAGTTCTCCCTGGGAAATCGGGAAAAGGACGTGATAAGCTAATGCTTATAGTCAGCTGGGCGCCGCCAACTCGACCGAACGCTGTTTCAATCGAAACATTTCAAACCGCCATAACTCAGGTTCTATGGCAGTGATAAATGAGTTTAACTCCATTTCGGAAACGTCTCGATCTGGACTATCGAAACACCTAAGAAATTATCTCAAATAAGTGTGACCTTGGAATAAAATTTTTGAGTTTATAATTTCAAAAATGTTGTCCTTGACATTAGCGCCTCTGGCGGTGGTCTGATGAACTTCTGTTGTTCTAAATAGTTTTACAGTGTTGCAATAGCTTTCTAACGAGCCCAAAATCGAAACGATTGAATAAATAGAACCAAAGTTATAGCGTAAATTAAATTAAAACTTTGAACCGTCATAACTCAGGTTCTATTACCATCAGAAAAAGTTATGACCTATTTTTACAGACGTCTCGATCTGAACTACAACATACTAAAATTTAAAGGAAATGCCTGACGGTTTTTCCGAGTTATTCGATTTTGAAATTTCAAAAATCGTTTTTTTACTTCAGCGCCCCTAGCGGTGATTCTACCAAATTATGTTGTAAGAGTGTAAGATAGGATTTTATGAGACCTTTCCAATGAATACAAAATCAATCCGATCGGTTAATTATAAAAGGAGTTGTGGCCATTTAAAGTTTCAAAATTTGGACCCTAATATCTAGGAACTGAAAGGACTTAGGTCCTCAAGTAACGGTTCGTTGAAAAGGTCTTGAGGTCAGCTATAATATATAAGAATTTGAGCCCGATTCATGCCATAGGGGCTGAACAATTGTGGAAAGTGTATTTTGGGGATATTCAAAATGGCTGACGTACGAGTGAGGGTTAGTTTTGATATCACCAAGTTCTAGCGGCAGTTGGATTTTTGATCTTTGGTGAGAACCTCATGTCGATATCTCTTGGCGTTTCGACGCTACAAGTCCATTTACTACGGACCGACAGACGGACGGACGGAAAAAAATGAACCCCCTTTTTTGTCCGTCATAATTCAAGGCGACGGAAAAGTCGTGCAACTCACCGAACGGCGTCGCCCTCGTGCACGACGCCGCTGTGATGGTGCGACGCATTGAAGCCGATGAGGGAGAACACGAAGCTGCCGGAGAAGATGATGTACAGCCACGTGTTGATGACACTCGTCAGCGCCTCGCCGGTGGCCAAATACATGACGAGAGGCACGGAAAATGGGATCAGATCGTCCAAACCCAGGCGATTCTTGGACAGAATCAGCTTCTTGATGAACTCCGTCACGTAGATGAGGCAGTAGATGAAGGGGCCGTAAATCCACGACGCGTAGCGCTGGAACAAGTTCTTTATCTTGGGGTCAGGCAGCCAGCAGAGGAACGGCTCACCCAGAGATATTTCCAGGTCATGCAGGGAGTTTGTGTACAAATGATGCGACAAGGCGTGCGAAATTCTCCATTCTCTGCAAGCGACAAAGTTATAGATAATTACACGGATTTGACCCACAAACTGTTGGTAAACAATCACTGGCGCGAATTAAATCTCTATTCAAATTTCAACTTGCAATTTACACTATTTTCTTACTCCCATTTGACTTGTTCGTCATCCTGATTAGATAACATTCCGAACGGATGAGAAAATTGTTCTCAAATATCCATGAATAAATTGCTAATAAGCGCAAGAATGTTGATCATGTCTTGAAAAGGTGCTTTAGAGAATCTTAAACCTCACAAGTAATCTTCTGAGGTCACCTTTCATCAAGATTTAGAGAAGATTTTCTTGTTTTTACACGCTTTTCACATGTTATTGAGCTCTCAAAAACGTGTAAAATTAGCATGTTGTGTAAGAAAATGTTGTCGAAAAAGCAAAATATTCTAAAGAATCTTTAAATATATTTTAAACTTATCTCTGATAAGTAAATCGAACTGTCCCAATAATTTTTTACCCTCGAATTACTCTTATCGCAATCTTATCGAGACGTGCTCAAGATAGCCTAATGGACTCACTGATAGTTCATGAAGGACAGGTTGAAGATGAACATTCTCCAGTTGTTGCGGCGGTGGAAGTAGTTGTGCGCTGAGATGATCGCGAAAGTCAGCGTCATGCCGGCCAAGAAGCCGACCAAGTAGCCCTTCGTGATCACCGCCGCGACGGCCATCACGTACGTCATCACGAAGAGCACGTCTGTGTAGAGATTGGACAGCCTGGCCGGCGTCACAGTGTCGATGGTCTTCAGCTTGGCGCGCACTCTTCGCTTCAGCGTGCGATAGAAGCCGTCCTCCTTGAACGTGAGCGTGAAGTTCCGCGGCTCTTTGGCGTCGCGAATCCTGAACTTCTCCAGAAGCCGCTCCGGAGCTTCGCTGAGGTGATGAGCTTCGAAAGCCTCCGTAATGTCGGTTCCCTGCAAAATGTAGTCTGTTCAGTAAGCAATCCGCAGAGGAAAATGCCTCAGATTCATTAGCAAACATCGTATCTGCATTTTAGTGGCATTTTCCACTTGATCAAGGGGGTGATAATACGGTAGGAAGTGGTGTACAGTTCAGCTGAAGCATATAGAAGATTAAATGCCGAATATATTGCAATAAATCGGATCATTTTACTCCTAGAAATCAATTCTAATGCAGATCTGCAATTTTTTTTAATCATCTTGACACATTTTTCTAGGTTATGTGACTCGATTTAATGACAAAATAACACCTCAAGGTATTCTATTATTCCACTGAAAGCGAATTTAGTTAATTAATTTACAGAATTGTTCATAAAAAATCATGAAAAGCGCGATTCTGGAACATAAATTGTGACAAAACACGTCAAAATCAAACATAACCTCAAATTTTTGTACGGAAAAGTTGCGATTTTGAGCTAAAAAGATTGTAATTAAGAGACATTTGGTTTATTCAGTGATATTAAAAGATTATTAGAAGGAAGAATATCATAATAATGATTTAAAAACATCAGATATGAAGGTTTGAAAGTTTATCAGTTAGATTTTAGTCGATTTGTAGTAAATTGCCAGGATGATAAAGCCAAAATTAGCATCAGAATAGGCAGAATGCCGTCGAAAAATCATTCTAAGGATTAAGGATTCTCCATACAAATTGTGGAAAAAGATGTACAGATATTAGCCATATTATCTCCCCCTTGGCTCGAAGTGTTCGTACAAATTTCTAATCCACTGTAAAACATATGTTCTGAAACATGTTCTTACGTCAATAAGAGAGCAAATGTTAAGTTTTGAGCGCATTAATCATTTCTTATTCACATTCTTATGCTATTAATGATCAAAAAGCGCTAAATTGAAGCTCAATTGTGAGCAAAATTCGTGGGAAAATGCAAATGCGAAGCTTTCTTCACGCATCCGCGGACTTGTTAACCAACCCTGGTCAGTTCGAGCCACTCTCGACCGCCTGGATGTTTGTCCACGAAGTCAGTCAAGTCATAAATGCCATCGTGGACTCTCCACAGCCCTTCGGCGCCATCGTCCATCCGGCGGCCCTCGAGCCAACTGCAAAAGAAGCACAATTGCTGTCAATCATGCAGCTCGTCAACTGATAACCGCGAATCTTATCAGCCGGCAAAAAATGCGACAATAAACACAAATTGAGTGTTGATAAACACAAATGAGCCGGGATTGCTCTCTTGAGTCTAAATACAAACAATTGTTGAGCTATGAAATGATAACACTGAGAATGATAAGAAATGAGAGGGAATTTTATGCGCATTTTCTGGCTAAAGTTCAACAAAAATAGAAATCTGACTTAAGCTTCTCGGGGGGGGGGGAAGAAGTGAAAATGAAATATATTCTGTTGATATTCTGTTTCACCATCCAAAGTGAAAACATTGCCAAACTCATCGCAAAACACCACAAATCTCCTCCAAAGCACAGCAATTTGGGTCACAGAGTGCAAAAGAGTGAATGAAATTGTGTGAATCCCGAACCTGTATTGCGTCCTCTTGGGAATATCCCTGAGCGAGGGATATTTCCGCGAAATTGACGTTCCCTTCTTCTGCATTTTTCACTCTTGTTTTCACTGAACTGAAACACCGAAGATTCACTCGAGACTCTCAATTCTGAGCAGAAAGCAATAGCATTCTGTGGCCAGACACACTTGAGTTGCGAACGTGTTCAGCATTCGCGGGCGATTGAAGTGCGGCTTCGAGGAAGTCGATGTGCGAGCAGCTCATGTTTTGGCTTTTTAATCAGCTCATTCCACCACACACAACCGCCACTAATCACTCGCGCTTTTCTTCCAATTCGTCTCTGTGTGTTTGATAAGTGGCGTGACGTCACTGCGCGGGCTTTGATGGGCTCTCAAGGGAGAGATAATACGCGCTAAACACTGTACACCACTTCCAGACACTTCTCAACGTCTTTAAAGGCATTTCTTACACTCTTTCAACTGTTTCCTCCACGAATTTTTAACTTATCGCAAATCTAATCCAGGTTTGATCAAATTGTAAGGTTATGAATACAGTCTTAACATTTTTTTTCACCTAATTTGAACCTTTTTACACCAGAAAATTAGTAAATATGAAGTTATTTTAAACAGAAAAAGCTCAAATTTGCCAAGAAAAAAGAGAAACAATCCTAGATTAAACACAATTTCATGATGAAGGTGATTTTTTAATCACCCGAAACTGTCTTAAGTCAATCACATAACCTAGAAAAAGCAATATAATTATTATTTTTTAACAGAATTATGTTTGAAAATGCCTCAATTTGTTGAAATAGAAGGTTTTTCAGTGAAAATATTCGATATATTTTATCATTTTCAATTCCTCAACACTTTCGTGAAGTTGTACACCACTTCAGGACCATAATATCTCCACCTTGTGAATTCTTTTTGCAGCAGAAACAGTACAAATTGAATGAGTGAAGAATCAGAGTGAGCAAATCTGCCAATTAATTTATGTGTTCAACACTTCAGAACCAGACAAGTGAGAATTCAATTGAGTGGCTGCAAAACAATGAGTTGCACAAGTCAGAGAGCTCAGAATTATAAGTCGATTAGATTCATGTGAATCACTCTAATCGATTCAAATGATCACCTTTCGTACGTGCGACGAAACAGGTTCACGGCATTTGCATGATGTCTTGAGACGATTGCAAGAGCGCGGAAATTCCAAGCAATGCAAGACTTAAGTCAAGGCCACCGTGAAAAGCCGCTGAACGCAGTTTAGTGAAAATCATCATGAAATATGTATGAATTCAGACGATTTTACAATTCACACTTGACGTATTTTAATCTAATTTGAATTTTTATTATTAAAAATATTTTCACGTCGCATGTCAAAAAAAACACGTATTTAGGAAAACATTTTACAATGAATGCTAGAGAATTTTTTGTACAAATTTTTTCCTCGTTGTTTCCTAAATTAATTATTATTTTATAGAATTCAAAGAAGTAGAAATTAATTAATTAATTATATCGACTTCCACTGCTTTTTAATTTTCACTTCAAAAGTAGATAAATTTTAGATTTCGTGAATGAAACTAATAATTGCATTTGTGTTGCAGAATTCAGCTCATTTGCCGACTTTTGAAAGCTTGAATATATTTATTATATATACAGTAGCGAAAATTAAATTAGGACACATAAGAAATATAGATAAATTTCCGTTTGATGCTAAAAATTCGGAATTTCTTTCAATTTTAGAGACATTGACCTTAAAATAACAAATGACCAGAATTTCATGATCTTTCAAATTTCAATTTGGAGATGAGATATTGCAAAATCCAGAGCGATGTGCGCAAGAGGAGAGCGAAAATTAAGTTAAGACTCTTCATATTTTGCTCTAAATCCATGTTATTCAAGTTGACAAGTCCAAACCAAGACGCGTTTATTATGTAAATATCCTTTAGATACCCCAGACTCATGATTTAATGTGGTTATTTCAGTCAGTTTTATGGTTTTAACAAGCAGTGTCCTAACTTAGTTTTCGCTACTGTATATTTATGTTTTTTCTGGCTTTTTAATTCTCGTTAAATGAATGAAAGTAATTTGTAAAATTTTGCAACGTTTTATTTGATTCACAGAAAATATATTCACTGGGAATTCTCTGCACTCAAATTATGATTTTCCGCGAATTTTTTATTAAAAAAAAATAAATGAGAAACACAACATCAAACCAAGTGAATTCGCTGGAAAAGTTTACTCGCTGTTCGAAATTCGCAATTTGATTACATTTCCACTGCTCCAGATGACTTCACATGTGACTGCATGTTCGCCAGGAGTCTTGTGACATCCATCCTGGCGTCATCCATCGTGTTGTAATGTGTATTCGATGCTCATGAATAATGCATGCGCCCAGAATCCCATAAACAACGCGAATGCCATTTTTCCTTGCGATATGACGGTGACATTATTGGAATTATTGAGCAAGATGTGGAAGTTTAGGAGAAAGTTTATCATAGAGAAATCACATGCGCTGCTTATAAATTTTAATATTATGTGCATTTTCCTTCGGGGGGTGGGAAATGTGCCACTGCGAGTGAGGGGATGTGCGGGATAAAGATCTCAAACGGCTGTTTTCTGAATACAAATTCATCGTGGCCTCAATGGCTTCCCCGATAAGACCCCTTCATATTTGCTCTCGACCGCAAGGAATTTGCAATGAATGGTCATTCTTATGGCTGAATCCACAATGGCAGTCATCCACTTACTGACTCGGATTCCTGAGGCTCTTCTCAGGGATTCACCAGGAATTCTGCATGAAATATCTCAACGAGCAGAATCCCAAAGACAATCATAACTTTAGATGTATTGAGAGACCAATTTCAACTTAAATTTCACCATTTTAACGCTTCAACTGAGCATTCTATTGTAACTGAGCAAGTTGCTCAGTTGATCAGACTGTCATATTTGAAAAATGAGGAAAACTTAGGGAAAACCCAGTGATAATCAGTGGCTCAAGTGAGGAAAAGAAGCCAAAAATAGCAAAAATGCTGATTAAGTGACGAAAAACTGTCAATTTTTGAGCAATTATGAGCAATTTTAAAGCTTTTTCCAGGCATTAAAGCCTATTTGTGAGTCAATTCATACTAATTCAGTCAAGTTCTTTCGATTTAAATTATTTTAAACGCACAATTAAAGTGAAAATACGACTTTGAAAATCAGTTAATCTGTTAGCGAATGAAATAATCTAATATTATTCCTATCACAGTATTTATTTCACTATAATTATTCCTTTTCGTCCATGCAATCTTGATATTTCGTCATCTCGAATACTGACGCTTTTTTTCGCTTTCCGTGCTCACCAGTTGACGCTCGAGTCACTCGAGAAGCCTTGGATTCACGCATTGAATAAGCGCCCTAGTGTAGCTGAAATTAGTGCTTTTTCTAGCATCTCAGCGAGACAAAAAGCTAAGAAAAGCAGATATTTTAACTGAAAATTGCTAAAAGTTTAGCAGCCCTCAAACAAAATAGAAATGGAATCGATCTGCGATAGCAGCGGACGATAGAGGAAACTCAATAGCTCTACAAACGCAGCAATTTCAAGCAAAATATTACGCTAATTTTTTTTTTGCTTCAATTAGCTAATATTTCATAAATTTTGTTAGCAATTATCAGGATTTTACTACTGTTTTCCGCTCAATAATGTGCTAAATTTTTTTTTGCTCTTTTCTGATCAGAACTTGGCATGAAAATGTGCTGTAAATCTTTCAATTTTGAGGTTATTTACATGGCGATATTTATACAATTCACATGAGTGTTGTTATCACGAACTATATTATTGAAATGGCACAATTTTACATGATGCGGACATCTGTGCATTAAAGTGCGCATCAGTACTTTGACTGGTCGTCGTTTTGATCGGAAGTGCATCAATCGATCTGCTGAGATTTTAGCGAAAGAAAGCCAAACAATTAGACTTCTAAAGCTTACCTTGGAGATCTTACCATTTTATGCTCGCTGAGTGGTGTTGGTTGAGCATATCATATTCAAATTTGAATTGCAACGAGCTCACAATCACCTCACTTGAGTGCGTCTTATCGGCAAACTAACACAGGTTGCATGAAGCTCACATATTTGATTCATGGGCTCTTGGCTGACTGGGTGAGGCTAAAGTTTGCAGATGAAGTGCTCTCTTGTAGCATCTTGCAACAATGTTAAGCTCTTGTTTACTACCGCTGGCTGAAATGTTTATTTTTATTGTTGTTTAAGAGTTGTACTGCAAAGTTGGCGCTCGTTTTTCAACCCCCGCGCTTTTCTCAATACTGCGGCGACTCCACGATTGAGTGGCCAGAGAGAGAAAGGGCAGCGAGATTGAAATTTAAAACTTTCAGCCAATGCTTGAATATGCACAAAAAGCACCATGTTAATTACTGGACTTTCAGCGCCAAAACCGTGGGAAAAAAGCTCTTCTGCCACTCGATGGTCTTTTTTCCCTGGTAAACTCAAGCAATGATGAATGTGTGCTGACAAAGGCGATACAGAGCAGGTAAACATTTGCTTTCAGCTTAATATTGTGACTCTCGTGATGGTCAGGATGGATGAATTTTTCTCTTTCTACTCTCGAATACACGGAAATTAGAATGCAAGGATTAAGGACATACTTTCCATCGCATGATGAGTGGATTTTTGGCTGGGTTGAAGGACTTTTTGGAAGGGTGCATAAATTAGACTAAAGTCCATAGTGGAAAACTCCCACCACAAGGATTGGAGAATTAATGTTGGGGAAAATTGCCAAAGTCTCAATTTAACGCACTTTATGCCATTGTCTCTCCTTCTCTGGCAATGGTCAGACCATTATACACTCAAAACCTCACTGTTATTTCAGTGTCTCTGCCAGACGAGGTGAGTCCATTCCTTGTGGCTGCCCAAAGATCATCCAACAGTATGGGGAGAATGTTGGGGAGAAGATAATACGCCCTAAATCTTTACACCACTTTCAAACACTTTCAAATTTACCTGAAACTTCTAGACCTTGAAGTTCTTAGACTGTTTCTAATGAATTTCTTAAGTTTCCATCCGATATTTCTGTAAGAATCGACTTAAAAACACATTTTTAGGCGTCTTTTCCAACCATAACCTCAAAATATAACTAAGAAATCTTCAAAAACTCCATTTCGAAGCTTTCTAGATCACAAAATCAACTGATTATGACTTGAAAATGAACTCAAAATTGCTGATTCAGAGTCAAAATTGT